AAAACAGGCCTGGAGACTCCTCAATAAGAATGCCAGATGTCTTGTTCTTATTTTATTTTCATCAATTTCAAATGTTTTTACATTCCACTAGATAGTATGATGTGCTAGTGTCTCTAATTTGTGAGGCTAAATCTTTGGCTATAGCCTATTTTTAATATAGATGCACCAGGCAGGACCATCTGTTTATTTTGAACTTTAAAAAATATTTTCAATGTGGATTTGCTGAATGTAACTCAATTTGCACATAAAACTTAATGCTTGGCATTATTCTACTTCATTGATTATGTGCCAATTGAACCATATTTATATTACTCAGTTTATTATAGCAAATAAAAAAAGACCTAAAAAATAAATGTAATTTTTCAAGTGTGCCCAAATATTTTAGCTTTTTTTTCAGAGTATTTGTAACTGTCAACAAATTAGCAAATGCATAAATTAGTATTTAGCATTAGACTTCTAATTAAATATAAGATCTTACCTAAAGAAAAATTATACAAAATAAATACAAACTGTTTTCCCCAGCATTACTACTAGTGGTTTACTACATTGGAAGGTGGAGAGTATTGGTAACTGTCAAACTGTTTATACAGAACATTATAAATACCATTTTTAGTAATATAAATGGAGGACATTCTTCAGAAGAGAACTTTTTTTTTTTCTGGGTTATTGACAGGAATTTATCTAACTTGAATTGCCAGTGATGTTATAAAGGATTCCTAGGTTGGGTTCTATAATTGCTAAGGCCGTCACAAAATTGTACAGGAAAACAATGAAGCAAAACAACACCAATAACAAAACAATACAGTCTCAACTCAAGGGCATGCCTCAGTTGATGTATTTGAGTCTCAAATAATATATACTTCTGCTTAGGATTCTGATTCAGCTTCCAACACAAACTCCCACCCAACCACCTTCTTTGAGTCAGTCTGCTTGTAATGTAGACATAACTCTGGGGGTAAGGGGTTTTGCGTTTGAGTAGTTAGGAGGAAAATAAAGGTCAGGAAGAAAGAATAGTTGGTGAGAACACATGACCTTCAGAACTACAACTCTTAATGAGTTCTGCTAAGAACTCCAATGTGCTTATTTACAAATCTGCTACAAAACTACCAAAGTAGTTTTTCATTTCCAATTATAATATAAAAAAATGGGGAAATATGTCTCAAAAGCATGTAGAGCATATTTGCATAAAAATATATAATCAATCCCATTAAATTAACTAGAAAATTATAACAAACTTGTTTTAATAATGAAAGGTTTAAAAATAATATTGTTTCTAGATGAAGCTATTTTTTTAAGTCCTGATTAATGAGACATATGGCAAGAAAAATTACTATAATGGCAAATGCTGATTCAGGATCTTATTTTTATTGAGTAGTTTATAGTGAGGGCTGTGGCTTTTTTTCTATTTATAGTGGCAGCTCTGGTTAATTATCTTGTAATGTATTGTGACATTAATGCACTACTAAACTATTGGAATTTACACCCCTATTCAGTAATAAAATCTGTAAATTGAAGAATGCATATAAAGCTATCACAGGCATAAATTCTGTAACCAAATGCTATGTATGATCACATTAGATTTAAAGAATAGAATCTCTCAAATTTGCTCATCAGTGGCTAAGCTCTACAGAATTTATATTTTTATTTTTTTATTTTTTTTAAGATTTTATTTATTTATTTTGACACAGAGAGAGAGAGACAGCAAGCAAGAGAGGGAACACAAGCAGGGGGAGTGGGAGAGGCAGAAGCAGGCTTCCTGCTGAGCAGGGAGCCCGACGCGGGGCTGGATCCCAGGACCCTGGGATCATGACCTGAGCCGAAGGCAGACACTTAACGACTCAGCCACTCAGGCGCCCCTCTACAGAATTTATAAACTGCTGCTACTTTGAAATGCAGATCACAATATTTTATTCAAGGCTATTTGGTAACCTGCTACTACATTTTCCATATGGTTACTAAGATCATGTTGGTCAGAATTAAAATGCACAATATTAAATAAGAAACATTATGACAAACAAATGCATCAATGTCATATTTTTTCCTTAAAAAATGAAAGAGAAGTGAAAGAAATCAAGACAATTGAAAGGAGGGAGAATAGTGGCATGTGGATTAAAATCATGATTCATAGGTGATATAGAACTTGAGGGGGGAAAAAAGAAAATGTGATAAATAATGTAATTTTTTGAGATATGCTTACTTAATTATTTTTCAGAATAGAGTTTTACAACACAATTCCAAAGTTACCAATAATTAGTTCACTATCTCAAATATGCAAAGCACAATCACTATATATATATATATATATATATATATATATATACACACACACACATACATATATATATAGGTGTGTATAAAAGTACCAACTAATCCAAAATATTTCAGATGAGAACAGAATAAAATGGCAAAATATCTGAAGCAATCTGATATGTTACTGTATTTTAAACAGTTAATATTTCTATCAATAAGTTCCCTGTGCTAATATTGATAACTATATTGATACATTTTAAACATTGTCATTTTGTATTGTTACCTTGATGAATGTCAGAAAATTAAATATGATATTCCTATAAAAATACAGGTCTATAAAATACATAAGGAATTAATATGTGAAGCAGTAATTCCTAAAACATTAACATGCATGTAGACTAGTAGAAATTGGTATAGAAAGGGAAAGTAAGAGAATATATGCAGAGAGAGAATATAGAGAGACAGTAATATCTTGATAAATGTTTCATATTCTCAATATGTATATAATTATAGTAGAAAAATAGAAAAAGGAAAGCTAAATTGGTTAGCTAATGTTAATTTTTAGGGAGTTCAAAGGATATTGTTCTATATCTCACAAAAAAAATCGCAATTATTGGAGCTAGAATTCCATTTTATTTAAAGAACCTGATGTATTATTTTATAATTCATATAAAAACCTATAACATACATAAGAAATTCTGTTTATAGATATAGATTAGACATATGTAGAGTTCATCTGCATATAAGTATCAACAGCCGTATTCTGTATAATTAAAAATAGCAAATGAAGATGAGAGGTGACAGCTGAAAGTTGAAAGGAAATACTCTGTGGTTCCAGAGTAATGCTATTATTATGCCAACTCTATCCCATTTCCAATATTTATTTTTAAATGAATTTTAGATAATTTTAATAAAAAAAGCAAAAGATTTTTTTCAATGTAATGATAATTTATACAGACCTCTTTTTTTACCTTTTTAACTGTTCTCTGAATGTTGCAGAATTATGGCACATGAGCTAGTAACTCTAACTGCAATTGTGTTAATCACGGAGCAGTTTAGGAAGAGCTCTGGGTCAATGTATACAGAGGAATGCTATGAAAACTAGAAGTTATCAAGACAATCATTCTAAGGTAGAGAGGACCATTTGAGGCCAATATCAAACAGAGATGACTGCTGGATTCTAGTAATTCATTCTTTACCAGGTCAATACCATCACTATTCTGACCAGGATGGTGCCATTTTAAAGTGGAGCTTTTAATAATGCCTACCTACCTTCTAACTCTTTAGGGTCTAGTTCATGTCACGTATTTGCCAGGAACTTGGCACTTATTATTTTACATAATTATCCTAATACACTTGCTGGGGTGATGTTATTATCCTTGATTTACAGATGGCAGAAAGAAGCTGCCTAAGGTCATTCAGGTCTGCCTGGCTTCAAAGTCTAATTTTCTTCCCTATGCCACAGCAGTGAGCCCAAAAGTACATAGGGATAGCCACATTATATCTAGGGCCTACCAGATGCCAGATTCTATTCTGTATTATCCCTAAACCTCACAAAGATGCTGTGAAGTTCCTATATCTGATCTTCTGTGTACTAGTTGAGGAAACCAATGATAAAATAGGTCTGGAACTCCCAAGTTTAATTGGCTTTAAATTCCTTTATTTTATCAGTCAATTTTTGGCTCACTTCATTTTACCCTTTTCTGCCTTGCTATGGTAGTTTGAAATGACCCAATTCCCCTCTTATCTGTATCCATGGTCTTTTGGATTTTGGTTCCTCAATCAAGCAATAAGAGTCATTTTCTCCCTTTTTAAGTCTGGGATTGGCTATGTGACTTGCTTTGGCCAATGAGACACAGCAAACAGGACACAAGCAGAGTATTGAAAAATATTTGAGCTTTAGGACTTGTCTACCTATTGTTGGGAATTCTGTCACAATAGGAATGAGCCTGTGCGAGACTGCTGGATGATGAGAACCATGTGACCATCATCCCAGACAACATTAAGGTGACTACCAAGAACTGACTGAGTTTCCTCCCATGCAAAACCAACCAGCTTACTACCTACTAAACATCTAACTTCAGCCAAGTCAGCTTTAAACATTATAATACATTTTGAAAATAATAAGTATCTTTTTAAAAGTGGAAAGACAAATTCTGTCAATTACAGAAAAATAAATGTTACTTTTAATTTTTATTTTGTATGACTATTTTAAAAAATCTTTAAACAGATGGCATCAATTTAAGTCATAATTTTAATTTATATATTTTTAAAACTAATCATATTAACACTAAAACGACTTTAAAAAGAAAATATAAAATATCACTTTGAAATGAAATGTCTGTCAATATGACTTCGTTTAAATTATATTAATTTATTTTAAAAAAGGATAGTAGAAGAAGAAAATTCTAATAAAATGTAATGGTTATCTGGTAATTTTCTGAATCTAAGTTGGTTTTCAAATAGTCCTCCAGTAGTTGAATTACTACGTATCCCTATTTCTTATTTTGTTTTACAAATATTTCTCAGAACAGTATTTCATATTTTAGTTTATAAATAAAATTTCTTCTTTCGTTATCAGATTCCTTGTACACTTATAACCCCCTCCCCGCTTTTTAAACAGGCACTGCATTGTAAAATACATATTTACAACTATCTGCATTTTAATTGTCTTCATCAAAAATAATGAATACACTTTCTTTTTCTTTAAATAGTAGTAGTAATGATAATAATAATAATAATAAACTCACCTCTAACAGGGGGTCTCTCTAGCTCAGAGTCAAGGTGAATAGGTGGAGAGATGTAGGACACCTGTCCATGATGTGCCTGCCCTGTGGACCCAAAAGTAAATGTTAAGCAGACATTGCAGTTTTGTCTTTTTATACCTTTTTGTTTGTTTTTATGATGTCATATTATCTTTCTTCACACTGAATTAACTGTCATCATACCACGTAGACAGAGCTATTCAAACACAGGAGCATTATGCATCATCCAAACATCAAACAATTAAATCAGTCCTTCTTAAAACTGCCTATTTTTTTTTCATTAAATTATACATTTATTGTAGAATGACACTTTTAAAAATACAATGAAAATGACTTACAAGAAAAATAAAATGGAAGAAAAAAAGACATAAACAATGTAAGTCCACATTTTTTACTGTTAGATTAAACCAACAAGCACTCTATCAATTTGCTAAAGTGTTTCTAAACACTTATTCTCAATTTATGCACTTATTTCATTGTCCCAGACCAGTAACATGCAGTCTGCAGACTGGCATCAATGTTAAATAAACTCGGGTAGCACTTACTTAAATAACTTTATAACTTTGGTTATTTTTTTTTTACTTTTTATAATTTATTTCTATTATTTGAATAGAAAACTACTCCTTCCTGCTCAGTGTATTTTATGGAAAAACAATAACTAGCCAGGATATAGAAAGTAGGTAGATGAATTCATTTTCTATTCCTTGCAAAACATTCTTTGGTTCTCACATAGTTTGTAACATACTTTCTGTTTTATGAGTTAAGGCGCTGATGTGAAGGCCAAGGTGCTGATTGGAAAAACTGCTAGCTTACAAACAAACAAAATTCTAATGTTCAAAGTAGCTATAGTTTGTATACTGATAATTCAGTAAGCAATTAGAATTTCAAGGCAAGAAGGCATAATCACAGAGTCAGTTCAATTTCTAAAGCTACTTTTTCAAACTATTTCTAAAAAAAAAGGTTTGGGTAGAAGCAGAGGACCCACCAATTTCTTTCTATAATGGGAATATGCCGTTATATTTTACACATTTACTAGAGCAATTTACAGGGTTGTTAATCTCTTTTCCTAAACAAGGAAAGTTAATGATACATAGATTATGATAACAGTTAGAGTAACCTTCCCGTTTCAAGTAATATTTGAATTGTAATAAACTCTGCTGATTCCTCTTATGAGGCACATTTCAAATAATTAATATGGCTCCCTGTTGATAGTACTCGTTGTTGCTCCCAGCCTTTTTCTAGCTAACAGCAGACACAGGGGAGACATGGGAATATACAGAGCCCCTCATAATGGTAACTAAGAATATTGTGCATTCACTGGCCATGTTTCAGTGGAATACTAAAAGCACTGTTATGAAAGAAGTAACACAGTCACTGTGCCCTTGTAGCAGTCCATGTGTAATGCAACTTATTAAAAACTTTAGGCTATCTTAATTATGAAAACACCTGATGCTTACCTATGTAGCATACTTGATTGCAAAATCACTTTTTATTTTTAAGGTCCTGTGTCATTAGAAATGAACTGGTTTGAAACTTTATCGATTATGTAAATGAAAATAATAATCTTTGACTTTATATTGGTTCCGAATAATCCCAGCATATAAAATAATATTGATTTTGTGTCTAATCAAGGAACAGGACTTTTGCCACATATAATAACTAACATGCATTCAGACATACATCATCTCCATTTACGCAACCATGTCACTACGGGGATTTAAAGGTAGGTGTTATGTCAACATATTCATATTTTTAAATCAAAGAAACAAGCAGAGGAGACTGAGCAACTTGCTCAAACACATGCAGCTAGTAAATAGCAAGGCCAGGGGCATTTTGACTCCAAATGTGAAGTGTTTTCAAGTATATCAGAGTATTATTCTCAAAGAAGGTCTCCGCATACTAAACCTGGGGGAAAAAAAGTGTATAGATTTTAGTGATTAAACTCTGACAAGTAACTGCTTGTGGAACTGTCACCCTTACATTTAGTTTGAAGTAAAAAGTCCTCTCAAATGTCACATTTGCCTCTGTTCTTGGGATAAGCACATAACTTCAAGAGTGCTCAACAGAATACTTTAGGTAGCACGAGATCACAGTGTGTATGTCCCTAAGGGGGACTGGAGATATCAAAGAGGCAGCAGAATGGGATGAGGGTATTGACAGTCAAGTCCTGAACTTGGTTTGTCAAAATGTCCGTTCCTTCTCCAATGAGAACTCAAGCAAACTGCCGGATGAGGTGTGGCAGGGAGAGCTACAGTGACAGGGACTCTCAGTCTTAGAGGAATGTCAGAAATGCAGTGATAGATTTCAGTTCGGTGACTGAGATTTCCGATCCACAGAATAGAAACTAGAAATCATGGAGGCTGCTGTTGATTAACTACATTAATCAAATACATAAAAAAAATTCTGCTTCACTTTCGATCAGTGGTACTCACACATTTGCCTCCACAAAATCACATAAGAGGTAATAAAACCTGTTCTAATCTGCGGTTAACTAAGGCAATGAATCTCAGGGAGATAAATGCTCTTCATCAGGGAGAGCATTATAGAACATGGAGAATTATAGTTTGAAAAAAAAAAAAACAATGACTATCAAATATCCACCCCCTCATTAAGAATTACTGCAAGATAATGGTAATAATAACAAAGTGTGTCTAAAACCATAAATAACTTCCATGTATAATTCTTCTAGACATTATGGTGAATAATATTCAACCAAAAATGTGATCGGTTCAAAAAGAGCTTAGGAGGATAAAAAGTATGGCAAATGTATACTGTTTTTATTTTACTTTTTATTTTTAAATTTTTATATTTTTTTAAAGATTCCCAAGAGAGAAAGGAGGGGAGGGGCAGGGAGAGAGGGGGAGAGGGAGAGGGAGAGAATCTCCAGCAGACTCCCTGCTGAGCTCAAAGCCTGAGGCAGGGCTCTATCTCAGGAACCTGAGATCATGACCTAAGCCAAAAACAAGAGAGGGATGCTCAATGGACTGAACCACCAAACACATACTGTTTTCAAAGATTGGACTAGAATACTTTTAGACAGGGAGCATACCTGCTCTCTCATTTATCACTGTCTTTGCCACCATGCTCTCCTGTCTTACACTAGACTTTCCTGGTCCTTATGACAGAAGCTTTATATATCCAAGTGTGAGATGTGCTGCTCCAATTTTTCCCTTACTTTTCCAAATTAAAAAGATGCAGATTTGTTTATTTCTGCCAAATTTTACTTCCTTTTTTCCCCCTGGATTTTAAAGCCAAAAAATCATACTGAGATTTTGATTAGAATTGCATTAATTCTTTAAATTAATTTGGAGGATAAACATTTAAAATATTTTGTCTTCATTTTCTTTTAAATGGATCTCCACTTGTTTGAACTGTCATTAAACAAGTTAAATATTTTTTGAAATTGTTTATATTTTGGTTATAAGAATATTTCATTGTTTAAGTATTCTATTTTCCCCATTTAGATGAAATATTAAGATTTTCTTAATAACTTTCACTGAACTTTTTTGATGGCTATTGTTGGAATTATTAGTTAGTGACTTTGACCTTCTCAGCTCCTTAGAGCTAGATACACTGACTGATACTAAAGTTTAGTTATTTTCTGTGATCTTTGTTTCTTATATGAAATATATTCCCAAATTAAGTTTCACCTATATACTCTTTTAATTATTTTGTGCTATATAATTTAAATTTTAAAAATTGATTTTATAGGACATGAAATTTAGATGACAGAGTTTCCTGGTGATGCTATTCACCTGTCAATTTACCTTAATTTTCTACAAAGTATTCACCAAAGGAATAAACAATACTGAATGATAGGTTCCATAAAAGAATTAAAAGGGAGAGAGAGAAAGAAAAAAAAAAAAAACAACTCATGGTTTATTGCTAAGGAGTCAAGGAAAACAATGGCAGTAGAAAAATAGTTGGGTAGCTTACGAGATTTCATTCATTTTAGGTCTAGGTAAAATGATAAATTTGTGTGAAGATGTCATATATACACACACATATGTGTGTATATATGTACGTTTATGCGATAAATCTATATTGATATATAATTTACATACAGACAATTCCCCCATTTAAAGTATACAGTGGTTTTCAGTATATTCACAGAGTTGTGCAACCACCACCATAATCAGTTTGAGACCATTTTCATTGCTACAAAAAGAAATCCCAAGCCTCTTATCAGTCACTCCTCATTTCCTCCCAACTCATCCCTATCTTAAGCAACCACTCATTTACTCTCCATCTCTATATATCTGCCTATTCTGAACATTTCATATAAATGAATTACACAAATATGTGGTCTTTTGTGATCAGCTTTTTTCATTCAATATTGTTTTCAAGGCTCACCCATGTGGTAGCATAAATTGGCACTTCATTCCTTTTTGTCGTCAAATAATATTCCATCGTATAGACATACTACATTTTATTCAATCATTCATCAGTTCATGGACATTTGAAATCATTTTCACTTTTCCATTATTATGAATAATGCTCTTATGAACCTCTGTGCACAAATTTTTGTGTGGACATGTTTGCATTTTTCTTGAATATATATACCTAAGAGTGGAATTGGTGGGTCATATAGTAAATCTATGTGTAAATTTTTGAAGTCTGATTTCCAAAGAGGCTGTACCCTTTTACTTCTCATTAGTAGTGCATAAGGGTTCCAATATCACGGAAATGTTTTTCAGGGTTTTTTTCTTTTTATTTACTGGTTTATTTTTTTATAGGTGGTAGTGTAGTTAAGTCAGAGCTGATTGAAATACTTAATATTAAGATAACTGTAAAACCTGGGAAGGGACCAATCTCCCCCAGTGGATATAGATAAAACAGGATTTGAATCAGAAGTTGTATAGTTCATCCACATTGTGAAAGTAACAAAAAAAAAAAATGACCCAGCCAAAAAAAAAAAAAAAAAAAAAAAGCAGCTCACACTGTAAAATGAAAATATGTGGACTCTCCAGTGTCAGGTATGCCAAAGATGTAGAAATTTTAAGGGTGGGGGTAGTGGTCAACAGAACTCAGCACCACAGCAAAAACCCAAAGACTGTTATGCATTC